TCGACATTTAGATAAATTAACGACGTATTGTCAATAAGTAATGGTAATTTTCATTATTATGTCGATAGGATGTTTCCTGGTGAGCTTGAGATAAAAGATACCACAGAGTCTGACACATCTGTTTCATGTTTGGATATTTTATTTGAAAAAGACGTTTATGGTAATATATAAGCTATGATAAGCGTGATTACTAATTTTTCTATCGACAACTTCCCTTACAGCAATAAACCTTCATCACCTGCATACGGAGTTTATATATCTCAGTTGATTTGATACTTAAGAGCATGCTCTACGTATGGACAATTTCTAAACTGAGGTAAATTGACAAGTTGATGAAACAAGAATATCAGCAGACTCTTTTAAAGTCTCATTTCGTAAGTTTTATGGTCGATACAATGACCTTGTCAGCAAATGCAATTTATCATTGAGTCAAATGCTGACTGACGTTTTTCATACTTATTGTTAGTCCGTTACTTATACACAGATTTGACGACGCTATTTCCCGATCATGACTAGGAGCATACGGCGGATGTGACCGGTCGGCAATGGATGCTCACTCCTCCATAGTACATGAGTCCACCTCTGGTATTTTCGAGGTATTAGTGAAAGCCATCATTGCAGAAACAAATGTTTATCAATGAAGGGTAAATTGGACTTCGATAGCCTCTGGTAAGTTTTTTCCCTGTTTATTTTGTCCAAATGTTAAGACTTGAAACCGAAAGTACAATGCAAATGGCGGATTTTATAGGGGTCTTGTCTTTATACATATCATGCTTTCAATAACAGCCTTTCAGTGACCATTCACGTCCAACTTTCCCTTGATTGATAAACATGTATTATTTCTGCAATGATGGCTTTCACAAAGAAGGACAGAATAAAGAAGGTGCGTTTTTCTTTACATACGCACATTTTTTGATACAATTTTTCTAAAAACAAATATATTCTTGTTGAAATATTTGTTTTCAAAAAATATATACCGGTATATTAATAAACTGCAAAAGTTTTATCTTTATACCTCACAGTTTTGAAGTTATTGTAAAAATAATTTTTTGGACAATGTGACCTTTGACGAAACCTTAAATATTTACAGGTCACTTATTTTTCACTCTAAAATATCCCATTGATCTTAATGATTACTAGAGGTACTGTGAGCAATGAGCTCACTAAATGCTACCCCGCCTCCCATATGCATATAATGACAGTGTCCATGTTTTGCTATTGGAAATCCCAAATACGTGTTGAATCGAAAAGTAAAATAGGAGGCGTACAATGGCAATATGTACTAGTAATAAAGATTCTCTGAAAGTTTCATCAAATTTTATTGAGTGGTATGAGAGGAGTTGCGGATAAGAAATGGGTACCCAAAGCGTAACAGACGGACGAACGGACATTCCGATTGCTGTATACCCTCCCGCTTTTCCGGCGGGGGTATAAAAATGTCTTTTCACACCTTTTTGCAAGTCAGTTAAATCTCCTTAGCCACAAGACAGAGCAGAGTTAGAAAAAGAGTTACCCCAACAATGTGAATAAAATTTCCACAAGAGTTACGTGTAACATTTACTAAATAAAACAATTTACCGGAAAATCTTCATGTACCGATTGTTTGCATTTTTATATTATAAGTGAAATACTTTATACTTACTGGTCTTCCGCGTGAGCAGAACGTCTGCTCTAGAGTCGCGGAGTAAAGAGTTTATCTTTACGTCGCAGGTTCGAATTCCTCTGTGGTACGTGGAGACCGGTCCTTCGGATGAAACTGTACGTAAGAACGAAGGTCCGTTGTCGCAGTGGGCGCTGGCACGAAAAAGATCGTTCACTGCTCAACGGTCCTGAGTACCGAGTATAGGTCAAAATTTGCAGCTCTCCGTTGGCAAATGGTGGTGTCTCCATATGCGTGAAAAATTCTCTAGAGGGACGTTAAACAACATACAAACAAACAAAACTTTACTTACTGCTTGTGTTGGCAGTATGACCATTAGTCACACCCAGATCTGTAGTACTGGAGGCTAGAAGTGCAAAAAAGAGACAACAGTTAGTAATATGTGATTGGTTTTATTAATCCAAAAACCTGATGAAAAAAATTATTATTTGGATAACATTAACAACAAAACATTATTTTTTAAGAATCCCTCTGAGACGTTATTCCGTGTTTGACACAGCTGCCAGGAAAAAGTACGTGTTATCTGAAATTATGTTTTTGTATAATGTAATAGTTTTTGCCCCCCCCCCCCACCCCCAAATAGAACCTGTATATTTTCGATTTCTTCCATGGCCAAATATGTAGAAATTCCAATACTCCATAAGAAATATCTGACGTGTGCAAAGTGTTATTTTTCGATGGAAGGAGTCTTTGCGTGCTTGAACCAGGAATATACATACCTAATTCTTGGACTGCACAAAGTACGACGGCAAACAGGAGTATCTTTATCACCATTACAAACTCAAATTTCTGTAGGTAAAAACTTTAACAGTTGTTTTTTTTTAAACTGATGAACAAATGAAATAAAATTTAATTGGTCTTATCGTAAAAATCAAGACAAAATTATAAACTATCTAAGAGTAACAGAATATATCTGGTATTTTATGATTTAAGCATATTTTACATGAAAATTAATTTTACCTGTTTTCTTAACTTACAATTGCAAGAAAACGTTATCTTATCAATTGTGCACATCTTGTATGAAACATGGTAGTGGTCATAGGTCAAAGCAGTTGACTAGATACTAGAAACCTAGTAGTGCTTGAACACATTTTGTTTTTATTTTGTCTTATAAAGGACTTTTATAAAGCAAATGTTCTCGATACGTAAGTATGCTTACTGCCTGTATAAAGAGCATTTTATTATCAGCGCTCATACTTAAACCATACCGTGGGTGGATCCAATTGCATTGGATTGTGGCGTTCAATTTGTTTTACCCTTTTTTATGGTAGGCATATCAGTGCCTGTTTTATAAAATGTTTAACTTTAGGGGGTCAACTTGCATAAAATGATGCCAAAGATTTTTTTTATGCTTTTTACAAGTTTTTCCTAGTCTCTTCCGACCCCCTAACTAATTTGTATTTCTGCTTAGCGTCATAAATAACATCTTTTCACATTCATTTCTGCTGTTGTTTTCTTTTAATTCATCAAAAACTAGTTCAGTTGACTTGGCTTCGGTTTGTAATAATAACGAAGGAACATAAAGAGCATTTTGTTTATCAACACTTGCTATCCTTATACTTCAACCATGCCAGTGCTACATTTAATCCTACCAATTATAATATTTTTGCCTGATCCCAAGGCTTTAAACTGTTGATAAACTTAATTCAAAATTTTTATTTTGACAATCTTGATTTCTAATCTTCATACATGTCTACAGAAATATTGATCGTATAGCATTTACATACAATCAGTATAAAAATTTTTTTATTATGAAAACTTTCTCAAAATACTAATATATACCTTAGCTGTCTTTGAAAATGCTGAAACATTGACACTGAAGTGTTTGTTCATTATTGCTGATGCTTGTAATAATGTTTTTATTAGTTTTATTATTATCATTATAATTTTAATTTAAAAGCATTTATTTGCATTTTTTCGGTGCCAAGAATGCTTTGTACAGCTACTTATTTTTCTCGGTTAACTTTGCCACTTTAACATAATAATGCAATCAATTTTTTGATAGCCCCGTTACCCACCATTGCTTACTTCTTTCCATAATCCTCTGATTTTGAACATATTTTATTGTAATTCAGATTTTAAATTGTCACAGTAAAACATAAGATTTTGAAGTATACATAGTCAATATTAACGAAACTTTACAAATCAATGCATTTGAAGATATAGTAAAGATACAAGAGATTTTATACATTTACATTTTATACATTTCATGTGACGTCACAGTCAGAACTCTTCAAATTGCTCGTGTAGTTTGCTTTCCATACGCAAAGATGTCTGATTATGTGACCAATTGCATGTTATTGAAAATTGAATATCAATTTTATCAGCATTGTTATATAAGGAAAGCAAATGTAAATATTCAATACAAAAATAGCTTCATTTACAAAAACTTCCAGTAATCCCATATGTTTTAAGTTGAAATAAAATACCTTTATGTCAAACACGATCAAATGCTTTTGAAAGATCACAAAAATTATAAACTTTCCATCATCAATAGCTTTTATAAAATTGTCATATGTTTCTTTTAACTAGTATACTGTTTAGTGACCAGGTAAAAAAAAAAACCAGCCTGATATTTATAAAAAAAAAGACTGTTGTCATGAAAATAACACAATTATCCTCTCAACACTAGAACTTTTAACTTATCCTCCATCAATGAATAAAAAGTGTGTAAAACAGTTTGTGGAGTGTTGCCACTTTCGTGACGTTTAATAATTTCTTTGACATTATCAAAAGTATTTTAACAATTACATATAATTTTAACAGTTATAAAATATAAAAATGAAATATTAACTAGTTTTTGTAAATGTAGAAAATCCAAATTTTCTAGTAGTTACAACTAAGACTTAACATAAAAGTCATGAATATAGGTACGAAAACGCTGTATCATAATATTAAAACCATAAAAATGGCGGATGCGGGATAGAAGTAGGTAATTAACAAACTTAAAAAAACGTCCGTCCTCCAAGGCTGTATGTGAGAAAAGAAGCAGAGTGACGCGCTGTTTGACCGGAATTTTATTTGTTAGATTCCGATTAGTCAATCTCTGGACCTATATTTGATGTGATAAAGTATATTCGAACTATTATGAAAATAGATTTACTTTTTACAAGATTAGATATGTGAATTAAAAGAAATTTTTTATTTGTAACACATTGTTACTAATAAAAACAAACAAACAAATAATCGAACAAATAAAAAAGATTGGACTAAAAATAAAAAAGCATTTTAAAATTTTCCAGATCCCTCTTTACTCTAAATCAAAATTTTTTTCGATATAGAGAAAATTATACTGCAATGAGGTTTTGACATTAAACTGATTTTTGTATTTTTTAAATATGAGGTATCTATGTGTACCTCCATCAAAATTGTTTAAATTTTAATATTTTATAAAACAGTCACATATGATTATCCATTCATCATCTACAGGCAGAGTTCATTGATAAAAGGCGAGTTAAGGAATTCCTGCATTGTGACTGTATCATCTGTGAAAGGAAATGAAAATTCAGTGCTTTATAGACTGATGAACAGAACATAAGTATGATGTAAAGTTTGCAAATGATGAATTGGTATTTGTCAGAGAAATAAAAGGAAAAACTCAATATAAGCTCTCGTCCTAAAAACTTTGGATAATTCTTTTCAGATTTATCTCAATAAATACTTTAGACGGTTTCTATATTGGCCTTGATTTTGTTTTAAGTTGGTATGTTTTTTTTTTCCTTTTTTATGTCATTATAAGTCTCAATCACTCAACTGCAGCTGGTTAATTATTATCAATAGTCACTGAGAATGTTTAATACAGTACTTGTAAAAATTTTCAATTATACAAGCAAAATAACTAATAAACCAAATCCTTACCTTTATCAAGATCCATTTTTTCGAAGAGCTCATCCAATTCTACCAGTCCAGTCGCCTCAATCAAGACTGCGATCTCCTCTTCGGTGATTTGCTTGTCTTGGTTCCAGTCAAATGTTGAAAATTCGCACAAATTCAACTGAGACGTCCCCTAGAAATACATGTACATTTTAGATATAATATCAAACAACAAATATCGTTAAAAGCAATAAGAAATAGGTGTTAATGATTTAATTTTTTTAGCTGTTTATTGTCTTATTTTAGGCAAATAACTATCGAATATACCATATAAACTGAGAAAAAAAAAAACCTCAATAGTTGAACGCTTCTTTAAAGATTTAATTATGTCTATGACTTCTTTAGCATCTTTCACTGCCTTTCCCGCACTTTCTATCCTCTCCCCTGGATCTTTTCCCTTTGTATTCAATATTTTAAAGGAAATTTGTAATTATGATCTTTGAAAAAAAGTGAAATATATCATGTTTATGGAGATAACAAACAGTATCAAAGCTCAAAAATCCATTAAACAATACAAATTTGAAGCAGATTAACCACAGACCTCCAAACATCAGAGGTGGAATGAAGTGAGGAGTGAACATCCCTTGTCATCCGGTCACACACGCCGTGTGCTCTTTGTCATGATCGGTAAGTAAAGGAATTATCTGCCGTCCATTCAGTATATAAATATTGTATCGACCATAGAGCTTACAAAATGATGGCTTTAAACGAGACTGCTGATATTTTTGTAAATAACTTACATAGTTTTAGAAATATCTTTCATATTTTTTACATACTTAGAGCATGTATCGCGTATCGAATCACCTGAGAGATATAAACCCCGTATGCAGGTGATGAAGGTATATTGCTGCATAAGTAAGGGAAGTAGACGATTGAAAAGTTAAAGTCATCACGTTTATCATAAAGTTTGGTTGTTAGATTACCATTCATGTCTTAGTCAAGAATAAATGTCTAAATATGAAAGAGATGTGTCAATTGTAGTATCTTTTATTTGAAGCTCATCTGGATAAATCGTATTTGTAAATTTATTTCCTTTTTCACCAGGTTATCAAATATAATCGAACGAGCTTTTAAATACTTTTTTAATAACAAAAAATATTCAGATATGATAAAATATGATTTATCTTTTATATAATAAGAAGTCAAATATGAAATCCATATTTTAAAAAAAATGCTTTGAATTCCCGTTATTAACAACAAATAAATGACAATCTCATAATGCTTTCCCTGTATTTGTTTAATTCTAAAAATATATAAAAAGCATTAACTAAAAATTCCACTTTCAACTAAGTAAAAAAACTTTCAAAAAATATACAAATTCCACTTTCATTCTTCAACCATTTTACCTTTTCAAAAGTGTCTTTGATGTTTTCATGGGCGCTTTTTGCCGTATCGACTACCGCCTTTACTTTTATAACTGTTGGTATGACTTTTCTCCCTATAAATCTTCCTGCTTTTCTAAAGAATTTTCTAATTCGCCTCCATCCCTCAACTTCCTGAGTAAGTAGGCAGGTGATGATCAGAATAACAAGACACCTTCTGAACTGAAATGGAAAAAAATCCGAAAAAGTTTAACAGCAGATTGACGTTCAATAATACTAGTATATAGATAAAACATCGTCTTTTTTCTATTAAAATGTACAAAACTTTTACGAAGCATTAAACACTGTTAACTGTTTTCAATTAACATTATATAATTACAAAGTGTCCTAAAAATCGGTCAATGCATAGCTGTAAATTTACAATTTTAACAAATCAAAATATGTAGCTTAAGGAATTCAATAAATATCTCTATATCAGGATCATTATCGCACCAAGTCCAGTTAAGTACCCGGTTACTCAAGCAACACGCATATTTTGTTGTAATTCACCGTGCTGATTGAATGGTTTTTTTCTTCAGATTTATGGAAACTTTGAATTTTTAATGAAGCAAATTTAATATGAGGAAGCGACAATGCAAAGAACGGAAATATTACTCTAGTTCTGTTGAAAAAAGATGACGGTCTTCAGTTCGTGTTGACGAATTCACATCTCTCTCTACTGCAGTTTTACACAACATAATTTTTATCTTAACTTCACAGATCAATTTTCAAATACGGAGAGAAAAAACAGTATTCAAGCCCAAAATGATAATCTAAAAAGAACATGAACACTCATTATAGAAATGTTTTACTAGCCATTTTCTCGTAGAAGTATATTTCAAATTATCACAATGAAATGTGATATAATCCATGTTTTTATTATGTCTTTGCAGAACATACTGATTATCACAAGTGATCTTAAATAATAAGTCTACTTATTTTCTTCTTAACTTTGGATGTTTATGTACAGGACTTGAAGTTGAGAGCGTTCACTTTATGGAAAAAAGTATCTGACATACGTATATCAGCGACGCCTTATGGGTTAAAAAAGATACCATCCTTTACTTAAGTATTCATAGAGATCGATTTTGTTTTATAATTCACTGGGGTCATGTGAATGGTTTTCCGACTTCACATAATTCGGCACTTTCTTGTACCAGAACTGATGGGCCTGTGCAGCAGGAGAATTTTTAACTGTTATTTCTGAATCAAAATCAATGTAAAGCTTGTGGTCTGTATTGTACAGTGGCCAGACTGGAACCGATTTTTCTTCTGCATCATTGACATTCCTAAAAAGAAAATAATGAAAGGAATGCTGTTAATAATGGAGTACATTGTAATACTAGTAAGCTTTCATGAACCACATTCTGGAAATATCAATGAAGAGGTGATGATTTTTTGTTAAACAAATGAATGAGATGAGGAAGAAAAATAATATTAAGGTGGAAACTGAGTCTGACGTTGAAAAAGAAAAAGACGTAGATGCTTACCCATAACGTGCAAAATTTGCCCAGTAGGTCATCATAGTCCTGGACAGTTCTAAGTCCTCCTGACTTATGCCATCATAGTTCTGTAAACCAAAGAGATACATCAATTCATCTGCATGTACACTTTTCGTGAACCACGTGGGTGAAGGGGGGCCTATATGTACTGGATTAATGTGTGACAGCATATACACTAAGGTGTGTGATATTCCGTTCTTTTCGGAATGGATATTTGCAGTATCAATAGTCGGAGCCGTGAGGAAGAAATCACCGTGTACATCTGTTGTTCGTATACTTTGAGCCGAAAGACCTTTTGATGGATGTACACTGTATTCATCACAAATCAAATTTACAACATCCGGGTTATTTTTAAAATGAGCTTTTACTAGGGATGGGGCAACTATTTTACACAAGACGTCTCTGGACAATCCCTCTGAAACATTGTAATTAAAACGACTTTGAAGCTGAGGACTACTCATTTGAATGAAAAGGAGTGATCCCTCTCCAGAAGTACTCCCTGTCATTAAGTCTAAGGACCGAAAAAAATAATGGTGGTTAGGATAGGCATCTGATAAAAGTTGAACCGGTTCATCCGGAAATAAATTCCCATCTACAACAGGACCGAATCCGAGGGCCATGCTTAATTCTGTATGAGAAGACATTATCTTTTCAAATGTTCCCTGTATTGTTTCTGCAGGGAGTTTTTTCATACAGTTCAAGAAAGATTCTTTATCCTTGCTCGAGGACGTGCATCCTGCAGCGGTACCTACTAATTCAGACATAAAGTAAGAGTTTTCCACCATTAAAGCAGGACTGTTACTAGTACCACTTTGAGAGATGACTCTGTGGAATAACTCACGGTTAGAAGGTATCAAGGACAACAAACTTGTACTCATTCCTCCCGCAGACTCCCCAAATATAGTAACAGAATCGGGATCACCACCAAATGAAAATATGTTTTCTTTCACCCACTGAAGGGCCAGAATTTGATCCATAATACCATAGTTTCCGCCAGCAATAGGATCGTTTAAGGTGAGAAATCCAAATACTCCGAGACGATAATTTAAAGTGACTATAATAACTCTGCCAACTGACGCCAAATTGGAAGCATTATAAAACATGCCTTGTCCGTATAGAAAGGCTCCACCGTGAATCCACACCATAACAGGGAGCCTTTCGTCAGAACTGATGTTACTTGGAATATAAATATTCAAAAATAAACAATCTTCTGACTTTGCTTTATTAGGAACATCAACGAAAAATGCAGAATCACCTTGCATGCATGAACGTCCAAATTCTGTTGCATCTAGAGTACCCTCCCACTTTCCAAAAGGTTGAGGTTTCTGAAATCTTAAGTGTCCAACTGGTGGGATGGCATATGGAATTTTTCGGAATTGGTCCACATATTTGTCATTGGTACCCGGAACAAGTGTTCTCAATCCCTTTATGTCACCATTACGAGTGCTTCTTGCTACTTCGTTATCTTCTTGAATATCTGCTATGATAATGCCTATTCCAATCAGAAAGAAAAAGGTTTTTGTGACCTCCATCCCTAAAATATCAAATCATAACTGTTTACCCTTATCTCCTTAAAATGGATACATGTGTAGCCTGTTTTGACCTGTTGACACTTAACTTCAAGTTATCAATGAATTGCATTTCTCTTATCACTTTAGTGATAATTTATTAATAAATTTTCTTTCAATCGACAAAATCTATACAAACAATAAAGTCACTGTAATCAGATTGAAGAGTTTTATCTAATGTTTCGATTGCACAGCAAGTCTTAAATAGTGAACTTCTTTTATCTATCATGACACACTTCACTGTTTCACATACACCACTATCTGTGTCTAGCAATGAACGTACATGTTTGAACTTTGATTTTTGCTTAAAATGACACAATAACTTATTTAGTTATTTTTACCAGTAATGTGCATGTTTTAATCTGTCCAGCGATGAGACCGTTTTTCCATAAATACTTTGCATAAAATTCTACATATCTAAAGGTAACTTCGTAGAACACAGTAATCGTATGGGTGTGCACTGGTTTAAAAAATATTGAAGGTCAGATCTATTGACTAAAATGATAAGGTAAGATAGGATCCAAGTATGACCCTTTATTGGTAAAAGAATTAAAGCGGAAATAATTTGATTTAATTAAATGAAAAATATTAAGTTTCCTTTAAATAATTTTTAAATATGGTGCATATAAAAGCTTTTTTAAACAGTATGTATTCTGAGAGTTGAATGGATAGGACATTGGGCAATGTCTATAAATAAGATTTCCATACAAAAGATCTTTGATTAAGACCAAACGCCCATTTTTACATAACAATTTGGGAACAGCGCTAAAAAAGGATCAATTGTCCCAGAGGAGTAAGCATCCCCAGTCCACCGGTAACACTCGCCATGTGTTTCTTGTCACTACCGAGGTAACAAAAATACTAGATCAAAAAATCTAGAAATTTCGATGTGGAAATATTGGCACAACAAGTTGCATAAAATAATTTACAAGATCTGGACTGTAAATTTAAAGAAACTGTGGATATCATTGCTTCATGATTTTATTTGTCAGCATCGTTATAGAAGTTGTGTTAAATAGACTTTGTTGGTAATAACAAGGGGCAATAGGTTATCATGGAAATTCGTACACAGACTTTATCTCCAAAAAATACAACGATGTTGTCAATCAGAAACTCGAGCATCTTTTTTATATCAAATTTTTGTAGTACTTGTGTTTACAATCAGAATGTGTTTAACGAAATATTTATTTTAAAATTACAAATGACAAGGTAAGTTAATTTTTAAGCCCTCACTTTTATTGGAAAGAGAGTGCTCTATGGTGCATTTATTAAGCAACGGCCATTGTTGATAAAATGTTTGAAAGTCATACGTTTTTATATTATTGATTTTATGAATAAATGGTATTTCAGATATAATTTTAAAATGTCTTCTTTTCTGATACGGTGGCCCCTAACCCAGAAAAAATGTATAAAAAAGATCTAGAGGAGCGTGCTCTAAAACCAGTAACAATTCTTGCAGCTTCTTACTGCATCTCAAGTATCATTAAAACCAGGCCCGTTCTCCCTTCAATCGTCTTACGAAATAACCAAGTCACAGTGAATACACATTTGAAGTATGAAAGCTTCTGCTCCTACTGCTCGAAGAAAGCCAAGGTTAGACGAGTGACAGGAGAAAGGGGTTGGTTTTAATCAGACTGGAGCTAACAGTTCTACTTATTTACTGAAATCAATTTTCTTATGCTATATATCTGCTATTCTAGGATCAGTCAACTAAATGCATTTATTGATGAGAGAGTATCTTTCAATGGGGTGAATAAATATTCTCAAAATATCAAAGACACTCAGCCACGCTCAACATTTGACATAGTTTTATTATATATTTCAACTTGAAGATTTACAGCACTGTAACAAAACAAAATAAATGGCTCTAAAATTCTCTAAATAATGGGTATATTACAAACAATCTCTCTCTCGTGCTCTCTCTCTCTCTCTCTCTCTCTCTCCAAGCATATATATATATATATATATATATATATATATATATATATATATATATATATATATATATATATATATATATATATATATAGGTGCTTTTATCTTTTATCATTTAATAGTTACAGGTTGGTTTTCATCATCTACCGACAGAGTTCATTGATGAAATTCGAGTTCAAGAACTCCTCCATTGTGACTGTATCATCTGTGAAAGGAAATGTATTTTCAATGCTACAAAGTCTCAATGATAAATGCAAACAACTACAGAATATATTTAAAGTTTGCAACTGATTCATTAGTATTTATCGTTGAAAAAAGTGAACACGCGAAAGAAACTCGAATTATCCTTCACAATATGTATTAATAATGAAGTTGTAGAATCTTTTCATATTTGGCTTTGTTTATTTAACTTCATATGTTTGTTTTTTTCTTTTTCAAAACAAACGAACAAACTACCCCCCCCCTTACCAATAAAAACAAACAAGAACAAAAAAAACCCAATAAAAACAAGTCTAACCTTGATCAAGATCCATTTTGTCGAAGAGCTCATCTAATTCTACCAGTCCAGTCGCCTCAATCAAGACTGCAATTTCTGCTTCGGTGATTTTCCTGTCTTGGTTCCAGTCAAATGTCGAAAATTCGCACAAATTCAACTGAGAGGTTTCCTGTAAATATATTCAAGATATTATATCAATCAGCAAATATCGTTAAAAAGCAACAAGAAATAATTGATTTTTAACTGTTTATTTTCTTATTTCAGGCAAATAACTATCGAATATACTATATAAACTGAGAAAAAAAGACAAACCTCAATTGTTGAACGCTTCTTAAAAGATTTTATTATGTCTAGGACGTCTTTGGCATCTTTCACTACCTTTCCCGCGCTTTCTATCCTCTCCCCTGTATCTTTTCCCTTTGTATTTAATAAATTCAAGGAAATTCGTAATTATGATCTTTGAAAAAAAAAAGTGAAATATGTCATGTATATGAAGATAACAAACAGTACCAAAGCTCAAAAATCCATTAAACAATACAAATTTAGAGCAGGCGAACCACGGACCTCCAAACATAAGAGGTGGAATGAGGTGAGGAGTGAGCATCCCCTGCCAACCGGTCACGCCCGCTATGTGCACCATGTCATGATGGGAAATAACGAAAATATCTGTCGTCCATTCAATGTGTAAATATTGCATCGACCATAGAGCTTACGAAATAATGGCTTTAAACAAGAACGCTGATACTTTTGTATTAGAAATTTTTCATACGTAGAGCATGTATCGCGTATCGATTCACCTGAGAGATATAAACCCCGTATGCAGGTGATGAAGGTATATTGCTGCATAAGTAAGCGAAGTTGATGATTGAAAAGTTAGAGTTCAACACGTTTATCATAAAGTTTGGTTGTTATATTACCATTCATGTCAAGTGGTATCTTTTATTTCAAGCTCATGTGGATAAATCGTATTTGTCCATTTATTTCCTTTTTCACCAGTTTATGAAATTAATCAAACGAGCTTTTTAATACTTTTTCAATAACAAAAGAATATTCAGATATCAAAAAATTTGATTTTTCCTTTAATTAATAAGATGTCAATTATAAAATCCATATTTCCAAAAAAAAAAAAAATGCTTTGAATTTCCGTTACTAACAACAATAATGTCCTGTATTTGTTTAATTCTAAAAATTTATAAAAAGCATGAAATAAAAATTCCATTTTCATTACGATTCAACCATGTAAAAAAAACTTTTAAAAAAAATATACAAGTTCCACTTTCATTATTCACCATTTTACCTTTTCAAAAGTGTCTTTGATGTTTTCATGGGCGCTTTTTGCCTTAACGACTACCGCCCCTACTTTTGCAACTGTTGGTATGACTTTTCTCCCTATAAATCTTCCTGCTTTTCTAAAGAATTTTCTAATTCGCCTCCATCCCTCAACTTCCTCAGTAAGTAGGCAGGTGATGATCAGAATCACAAGAAACCTTCTAAACTGAAATGAAAAAAAAATCCGATCTGCTGAAAAAGTTTAACAGCAAATTGACGTTCTATAATACTAGTATATATATATAAAACATCGTTTTTTTCTATTAAAATGTACAAAACTTTTACGAAGCATCAAACACTGTTAACTATTTTCAATTAACATTATATAATTACAAAGTATCCTAAAAATCGGTCAATGCATAGCTGTAAATTTACATTTTTAACAAATTAAAATATGTAGCTTAAGGAATACAATAAATAAATCACTTACATACTAATTATACTGGATTTAAAATATATTGAACAAACGAAATAAAAAAAAAAATTAAATATGTCTTTGATTAATAACTGGATTTTTCTGTACAGACACAGACACTATAGTTGGATAAATATATTTTTCAGTCAGTTTTTTAAGAACTGAGAGAAAAAAGTACTACATGAATATGTCAGAGAAAAAGAAATGTTACTGTAATGTAAACACTGTATAGTTAGTAGTCAGTTACAACGGTAAATCAATAGGTAAACATGTCCAAACTGTTTACTGAAAACGAAACGAGGAAATATAAAAAAAGAGCCCTTACCATGTTTTCTGTCTATCCATTTGATGAAATATATTCCCTCTTATATAATACACTGAATCTTACGTCATTCGCGAAGTCAAATGCCACATTTCAATAATCTGCAATGTAAAACAAGCCTGCACTGCATTTGCACTATTATTTTACATTAATGAAATAAATAATCACATCAAAAACCCAAACAAACAAAACATTTTTGTTTAACTTCTGCAAAAATATCTGCATATGAAAGGGACCTGAAGTAGTATGTGTATCCGGTATGGATAAATACATTTGTTTTAAGATATTGATTGGTGTATTGATTTAATATATTTCAGAAAATAAAATTTAATTTTACATTTTATGTATTCCTTATGTCTTATCTACGAACTTGTTAAGTAAATATAGCGTTCGCTGCGAATGCGATGGCAGAAAATATCATATACTAAATAACATTCAGGGGACCAGGCATGTATATATTTTTGAAACCAAAAAAATATTGCTGGGTCAATGTATAAGTCTCGTCACGTGACTCGCGAGATTGAACGATAATTTTCACTTCCACTTCGTGATATCACGTATTCAATTTGAATAGGTGATATCACTTATTCGAATAGGTGCTATCACCTATTCGAATAAGTGATATCACCTTTTCGAATAGGTGATATCACCAATTCAAATCTAATAGGTGATATCACCTATTCGGATAGGTGATATCACTTATTGGAATAGGTGATATCACCTGTTCACCTATTGAAAATGAATAAGTGATATCACCTATTCGAATAAGTTATATCACCTATTCGAATAGGTGATATCACTTTTTGATGAGGTACAGATCAAGTTTGTATTCCGCTTCAATGATTATTTCCAGAATTTTTCCCCTTTTTGATTTTTAACAATTTTCCACGCTATAAATTTCTAAATGCTTGCAGAGAGATATTGAACTGATTTTTGGTTTGTGAGTCTACCTTGTTGAGTTATAGATAAAGTTTGCATTATGTTCCGTTTCAATGACTGCATGTTTGTCTGAAATACGGCATTATCAATTTCTAATAGGAACCAGATGACTTCTGCCGATAGGGGACTAGTATTGCTAGTGCAATGCTGTCAAAATACTTGTTTGGGTACGTATAACTAAACTTTCTCCACATGAGCTAAATTTCTCGAGAGGAACGTTGAAGAACAAACAAAACAAACACATAAACAAATATAACTAAACTTCATGCAGTTGAAATATTCATCTAAACCAGACCTATCAGGTTGATATAATATGTAAATAATTGTCTACAATAAGTATGAAAGTCAGTCATCATTCTACGTAGTGACAGATTGTATTTGCTGACAACGTAATTGTATAAAGCATGTGTAATGATGATATCAAACGAAACTGCTGATATTCTTGTTTCATCAACTTGTTTGTAAACGGCATATCCCATTTTAAAACTTGTTTAAAATTTGTACGAACGTATAGCATTTTCTAGTTTAAAGAATTAACTGTTAGATATTATGATATAAACTCACAATGTAGATGTAATAGGGGTATATTGATGCATAATTAAGGGTAGTTGACAATAAAATATATAGAGTCATCGCGATTTTCTAAACATTTCGTCTTTAGATATCTTAACCGTCTTTTTTCTATTAAAATATCCAAAAATTAAACAGTTGTGCCAGACCCTATTGTAGTTTAGCATTGTCTGCGATATCATGCTCAAACTGTATGACATGAAATATAAAGATAAAACAATACAAATTTGGAGCAGAGCAATTACAGAACCCCATTTTATCGGAGGCGGGATCAGGTGCCATGGAGGATTGAGCATCCCCTGCCGACCGGTCAAACCGGATATGTGCTCCTTGCTCTGATCGGGAAGTAACGGAAAATCCGTCGACAATTCTGTGTTTAAACAATGGTATTACAACTAGTATGAAAAACATCTGTAAGCATTTGACTTAATGAACAATTTCTTCTACGTAAAAAAGCAATTTTTAAAACGAGTTAAATTATTGACAAAGAAATTGTTGAAACAAGAATATTAAGTCTCGTTTAAAGTAACCACTTCGTAAGTTGTATGGTCGATAGAATGACCTTGTCAGCAAATACAATTAATCATTAAGTCTAATGCTGACTGATGTTTTATTCTAATTGTTTGGCCATAATACATATATACACACTGAATGTGAGACGGATTTTCCTGAGATTTCCCGATCATAACAAGGAGCAATAACAATGGCGGGTGTGACCGGTCGGCAGGGGATGCTCACTCCTCCATGACACCTAATCCCGCCTCTGACTTTTTCGAAGTCCGTGTTTTTTCTCCTTTGATTGGCCTTTGAGATTGATTGCTGTTCCTTATCTCTATATACGCGGTATTTCCCACAGACCCCGGGGAATTCAAGAAGTTTGATCAAGTGGCCAGGAGGAGTAGGCATCCCCTGTTAACTGGTCAAACCCGCCGTTAGTCCTATGTTTTGATCAGAAAGACGAACGTTAACCATTCTGTAGTCAAACTAAGCATAAAAAGGACCTAACTTCATTGATCGGTTATATTTTTAACAACCATATGGTAAACGACCATTACATTTACGAAATATTGGCTGTAAAGGAAGTTTTGAAATCCATGTTACAACCCTGTATCCATCAGTAGTCTGCTTCGGTTTCGAAATTGATTGAAGTCAGGACATGATTTTTATCATCTAATTAGATGGAAGACGTAAGCACCTTTTGCAAGTAATAGCGGGCTATTACTACATTAAAAATTTGATGATGGAAAAGCAGAAGTAATTTCGGTTATGAAATAGGTATATTAGTTGTAAGTTGTGTCTATTATCATCAGTATAATATCAAAGTCTAATATGAACAGATGTCACAGACTCTGTGGTATTATTTTGGTTTTAATATCACTAATATTTTGAGTTGAAATATGAGTGGAAGTAACTGCGGAATAATAAGTTGATTTTCTTATTTACATTTTCGAGTACGTCATTTTACCATTAGGGTGTTATCTTTAGAGTCGCAGAAATGGGAGTTGATTCTAACGTCGCAAGTTAGAATTTCATCAGTGCGGTACATAGAGAGACCAATCCTTCACATGAGACAGTTTAAACAAACATCCCGTGCCCCAGAAGAAAGGCCTTAATTCGCAATCATTTAACTGCAAGTGAAAAATCTTAAAATGGCATTTAAAATTCAAACATTCAAACCATTAATGCATACTAGTAATACTAGTAATACAAACTGAACAATTAACGAATTAGTTACATTTTACTGAAAATGCAAATATGTGTATTTATCATACCTAACATGTCATTTCCATATAAGGCCTAACTTTTAAAAAAACCTATATCAGTATGTACAAGTAAATTTATAGAATCCATAATAAATGACTTTGAATCACCTTCATTTCTGATGAATATCTCTTCCTTATCGATAGATCATACATTTATCATATATTAGCAACACCTTTTCTAGTGATGCAAAACCAAGTAAGGAAAGAGAGAAATAGTTCGGAGGTCACAGAAGATGAGTTACGATTCTTAACTTGTTATCAACCACAATTACGCAGGACTTTTGAATAAGTAACAATGTTGCTCTGTCCAAATTTTAGAACCGAAAAAAATCGTAGTGAGAAAACGTGACTGATATCAAAGGTCGTTAATGATGACACATTATTCTTTGAGCACCTTCGGAACTTTGTACCAGTAGTAAATACTCAAAGCAAGGATGTCAATGTACAATCAGAACGAAGACGAATTGCATGTATACTAATTATTACAAGTAAATCAATTCTTAATTATTTTTATTTTCATAAAAGGGAGTAACAATACACTTGTTTGGGTCTTATTTTGTTGGTACATGTGTTACATTAAAGTTTTGCAATTTAAGAAATTCAAAACAGATTGTTATATAAAGTTTTGAATTTCTTAAATTGCAAAACTTTAATGTGACACATGTATGTTAACTATTGACAAATCGTTTGCAAATATAAACATGGTAGTTTATTGCGATTCAGTTCTCTCACGAAACGGAATTTCCCTCATTTAAATTGACCAGGCATATGTATGAACTTTTACAAAGAACGTGAAAAGAACGTGATTGCTTATTATATAATTTATTTAATCTGTGGTTTAGTATTTGCGTGTGTCAAGACGCCCCTTATTTTTATTACATAATAAAGTTTATAAAATTATGAATATTTCATGTTTTGTTTTTCTTTAATAACGTTTTGGCCATCTATATTGTTTTTCTCCAATTTATCATTATTTTATTATTAAAATAAGCATCCTTTTAGAGGATGAATATAAACATATAATAATAATTATAATATCATAACATGACCAGGAAATATATATAATTTTAAATCTAAGAAAGTTTTAGACTAAACAGTTAGTTTCATTTCAAGACAATTTGTTTGGCTCTTTTACGGCAAACCCTTTTGCTATTTATTCGGAAAATAAAATTTATCTCGAAATTACAGAGATATCTCTCATTTTAGAGAGATATCTCTTAAAAATAGAAATATCTCTCAACTTAAAGAGATATCTCTCATTTTTAAGAGATTTCTCTATGAGAAAGAGATATCTCTTAAACTTAGAGAGATATCTCTTATACTTAGAGAGAAATCTCTTCCACTTGAAAAGATATCTCTTTCTCCTTGAGAGCTATCTCTTTCGTGTAAAGAGATATCTCTAAACGTTAAAGAGATATCTCTTTCATCCAGAGAGATATCTTTCCAAGTTAAAGAGATATCTCTTAAAGTAAAAGAGATATCCCTCTTAGTTTATCTTAAAAGATATCTCTTTAAGTGAAAGCGATATCTTTCAAAAGTGTCTAAAAGTGATATCTCTGAAGCAAAAAGAGATATCTTTTTGTTGCAAAGAGATATCTCTCTCTTCATTTTTAAATGACAACCCCCTTTACCTTTACCGGAAGTAAGCTTTTTATTGACGAAAGTATACTAAAGTATTTTTAAAATCGACATATTCATGATATTCTACATTATACGCTGTACCTTTACTAAACATCACAATTAATTCAGTTTTGTCTAAGTTTCGAATTAGAAATAGTTGATTATTTCATAAGCTGAGAAAATTCGGTCCATATTATATATATGCTTACTTTCGTTTATCTGAACATTAAATTTTCAGCATTTCTTTCAACGAAGTTGGTAACAAAAGATTACCACAGTTCTTTATTCAGCAATCAAACTTTGTTATCATCACCTATTTCACATAGTTACAGATACTTTGTTTCCATGTGATGATTCTTTGTCTACGTATATATGAATTTGATGATTCTTTGTCTTTATCTGCGGATACAAATTGATCGTATGATGGGTCTATGATACTTGAACATAAAATACTGATGCCTCTTGCTACTTCTCTGGCATTATACATTGTATAATAGATAAAGCCTTGGCATTCTAATTATGATTTATGATTAAATAATTCATTATACGCATTATAATTGATTGATTGTATATTGTTAAACGTCTCTCGAGAATTTTTCACTTATATGGAGACGTCACCTGTGAAGGGCCTCAAAAGATCTATACTCGGTACTCAGGGACATTGAAAAGTGAGGGTTCTTTATTGTGTCAACGCCTATCGTAACACGGGACCTACGTTTTTAAGGTCATATCCGAAAGATCCGAAGGAACATCACTGCCTATGTTTAAGTCTTAGGTATGACCTTAGGTATGACGCGGCGCCGCAAACGAGGATCGAGCCCAGGCCTCCCGATCACGAAGCGAACGCTCTACCACTATGCTACCGTGACAGGTATATACGTATTATGAAGATTATTACAATTTGTATGAAAAACGTCAGTCAACATTTGACGCTTCAATAGATTGTTTCTGCTGACAAAGTAGTCTTATCGTCTTTAGAATTTCCATAATGTTTATCTTGAATTGTCTATTGACATCCTTGTACCGTGCACTTATTATTCAATAGCTAGCCTTGTTTAAAAAATGTTCTTACATTGAGCATTACTGGGATTTTTCGTATTGAATAAAACGGGATAAACTTTATCATGTGCAGCTGATGATGGTGTATTGCGACGTAAATAAGAGAACTGGACAATGAAAAAGTAAAATACATCACCTTTTTTCATAATTTTTAGGTCTTAGGTTGTCAGTTTATTTACGTATATCGACTTGTACATGTTTGTGCCATTAATGTTTTATGGTAATTTTTAATTAAGAATAAATCGCTAAATTTGCCTTTTGCTAGGATGTCCACTTATAGGGTATCCAAATATGAAATATTTGAGTCAGACTTGTGAAATATATCACTGTTGGAATGAAGATGAATTCTGTTAATTGACAAACTGTCGGATTAAAGGCTACCACAAGGGACGTCTTCTTTCCTTATTGATGTTTTAAATTTCTTACTTTAATGAATGCAAGCTCAATTGTCTCTGACATTCTTGTTTTGTGGTGCTTACATGTAACGCACTTATGAAATATTTTATATCATATTTCTATATATAAAATATCAAAATTTATCATGCATTTTGAAAGTGCACGTTCTCCAATGCATAACATCATAGACAGCTGCTTTTTTATGAAAATGAAACTCCTGCATTTACTTACCTTTTCATTGGTCATTTGCAAAGTTACTTTTTTCAAACTATTCAGATAGTACACTCAACTAATTTGAAGATGATTTTAAAAAGATGCCTGAGTTTCAGATTGATTATATCTATGTATTTTTTAGAAATCAATCATTCCAACAAAATGTCGGAATATCCGTCGGTTCCAATTGCGCCCCGCTATCAGCAGACATATTTATTGTATTTATATGAAGCATAATTTATTGGGAAAAAAATCTACATGCAAAAAGTTTCTTGGCTTTGGCCTTCAATCCAGCCTTAATATATCCCGAAAACGTTTTATCTATAGATAATATTCATTTTCATCCATATATCCCTCTGAACTCGAAATAAAAGATACGACAGTGTCTTCTATATTTGATAATAAAAAAGAAAAAAGAGGTAAAATAACAACAAATTATAATCTAAACATGATGACATCCACTTTTCTATTGTCAACTTCGCGATTTAAAAAACGTAAACTGTCCCAAGTTATGTTATATTGTATATAGGTTTAAATAAGCCTCATTCCTTATAATTTACTTTCAGTGTAGACAATAAGAGAATTTTTCCTTAAAAAATGGCTTGAAATTGAGCATATTTTAAAATTAATGTCAAGAGGAGTCCTGCGTTTTTTACGTAACTCATTGTGACGTAGGCAATATATGTTATACAATATAAAATAAATCTTTTATACAATCAAATGACGTGTTAAATCATACAGCAATATATCCTTTATATGGTGGCATATTTATGCCATCCACATATTTTTTGTGAACATGGCATATCACGCAAAGTCAAGATGACTATCTCATCAAGTCACGATAACGCCTTTATATCTTGTCCAGCCAAGATAAGCTATCAAATTTGTTGCGGTAGCTATCTTGACATGACGAGATAACTTATCTTGCATCATGAATAAAATAGCTATCGCAAAAATACGATTGCTTATCTTGACTGGACAAGATAGAAAGTCATCGTTTGTCCACAAACAAGAAAGTTATCATGACTTAACGAGATAGTTATCTTGATTTGACATGTTAAGCTATATTAACAAAAAGTTATGTGGATGGCATAAATATGTCACCATACCTTTACACTTGCGTATGGAGTTTGGTTTTCCCCGTTGTTTCGTGACGAAAGAGAAAGCTCTACGGACAGTTCCTTGTCAGCAAATGCAATATATCATTAAGGGAAATGCTCACTGATAGTTTTCGTATTTCTTTGGCCATTATTACAAACTAAATTGTCTACGTCATTTTTCGTTTGCCCTGTAATAACAAGGAGCAAAGGTACGTGGGATGCTTACTGCTACGTGGCACCTGATCCTCTTTCGATAATTTAGAAGTCCTTGTTTATGATGCTCCGAATTTGTATTGTATTGTTTCAATGAACTTTTTAGCTTGAATGCTGTTCGTAATCTTTATATTTGAATTCATTTATCATGAGATATGGGCATCAATAATATATTTATAAAGCTTATACATTGTATAAGTCTCATGGCGTTTGTTATTTAGCTTTGAAGAAAGTGTGCTGCGATATGAAAACTAAAACAAGTTTATATTTAAATTATTTTTATAAAACTATAAACAACTGCATATCAAAAAAACAATGGGACAAAATCTATTGAAAATTCTTCTCATTACATATACAAGGAAAGTTAAATGAAGTCATTATCATTTCACCAGGCAACTTTCCATTATTATGTTTGAGTCATTATACTCCTGAAGTGTGATCTGTCCATCTAAATAAAAAGAAATATAGAAAAGATTATTTAACATCAACAAATCTTAAAACTGTTTCAATAATTGAAATAAGTGTATGCTATAATATACCGTGGTAACTTCATAAGCAGATTAACTAAGATCATGGTTACGTGATAAAAAAAAATATCGCAAACTGAATTTTTTTATTTCAAAAATTCATATAAGATATAAAGGGATTGATATTTGTTTCAAATCGCCTGGAATAATGCGTTATAAAAAAAAATTAATCTTGAAACAATAATTATGTTTAAAGTAAATGCATCATTCGACCTGAGAACTAAGACGCTGTCCAATATGAGAGACGATCAAGGTTATTTTTGATCGCAGGTCGTATCCTCGATATTTTTATGCTTGTGAACATACCCAACTAATATAATCTAGCAAGCAGAATTTTAATCAATCTGAACATTATTGAAATTTTTCTATCTAGAAAAAAAAGCGTTTCAAGAAAGGATAAACTTTTTAAATCTTCTGAAATAAACACAATGATTTTACACTGTACAAAAAAATAACTTTACCAAATGTTTTATGGTTTGGAAGTAGAACATCTGCGATTTTTTACAGTTTGAATAAATGCGAAGGTGAAATGTTATGTTCTTATACAATGCAACCGTATTTGATATTTGAAATTTGAATTTTGCAAAAATTATACATTACCTTTATTGATATCAATTAATTCGAAGAACTGGTCTAAATCCACAGCGCCTGTCATTTCTATGAGAGTGTCGACTTCGTCTTCGGTGATGACGTTGTTATCATTCAGATCAAAAGACGAAAAATTGCAGACATTTATGGTGAAAACATTCTGAAATTTATGAAGAATGAAATGATTTAATGATGATACGCTGTAAAAATAAATCAAAATACAGGTTACTAGACAAATAACTTGTGTGTGTCGTTTAAAACACACATGCATGGACAAAAATGAATATTACTTTACTCAAATATGCAACACTTTTGCTTCTAATTTATGTTATATTAATTGTGATATGGTACATATTTCAAATATATTTCAAGGTTTTTTAATGGCATAATCAAGACAAGAAGTCTTCGAAGAATACAAAAACAATTAAATTAAAAAAACAAACAATATAATATCCTTACATTATCAACGGATCTTTTCCCAACCGCGGCCGCGACTGTCTTTACTGTGCCAATAACTGCTTTGGCCTTAGCAATAGCCACTGCTGCTTTTCCAGCGCCTTTTACGACTTTTCTAACTGCTCTACCAATTCTTCTACCAATTCTTCTGAAAACTCTTCTTCTCCAAGCATCCGACTCATCAGTCAGTAGTAAAAACACCAGGGAGAAAATGAGGATATGTCGAAACTAAATAATGAAAAAAAAAACAATAGTGAGAAAACAATAAATAATAATAATAATAAAAAACACCAGTGAGAAAACGAGGATATAACTAAATAATGAAAAAAAAAAACACCAGGGAGAAAACGAAGATATGTCAAAACTAAATGATGGAAAAAAAACAGCGAGAAAACGAGGATATGTCAAAACTAAATAATGAAAAAAAAACACCAGGGAGAAAACGAGGATATGTCGAAACTAAATAATGAAAAAAACACCAGGGAGAAAACAAGGATATGTCAAAACTAAATAATGAAAAAAAACCAGTGAGAAAACGAGGATATGTCAAAACTAAATAATGAAGAAAAAAAAACACCAGGGAGAAAACGAGGATATGACAAAACTAAATAATGAAAAAAAAAACACCAGGGAAAAAACGAGGATATGTCAAAATTAAATAATGAAAAAAAAAAACCATTGAGAAAACGAGGATATGACGAAACTAAATAATGAAAAAAAGAACACCAGGGAGAAAACGAGGATATGTCAAAACTAAATAATGAAAAAAACAGTGAGAAACGAGGATATGTCAAAACTGAATACCGTATAAGTAGAATTTTTAGCGAGGATTTATTTTTGGCATTATTAGCGAGGGTGTCGAGATCGCTAAGATTGAATATCGCTAAAAATTAATCGCAATAGCTTCTTAAATGTGCATTTTAAAATCACTAACATAACATCTCACTAAAAATAAATTACCAGTTTTTAAGGACAAATCGCTAAATTTGCATCTCGCTAAAATTTCCACTTATACGGTAATGAAAAAAAACCCATTGAGAAAACGAGGATATGACAAAATTAAATAATGAAGAAAAAAAACAGTGAAAGAACGAAACTGAATAATGAAAAATATAAATTGCAGTGAAAGTTTTGAACTTGTAGAAAAATAATTATAGTCGGCACTAAGTCTAGGGTAAAAAAGCATATAAAAATTATGAATGAATGCTGTATGATAAATATACAAACCATTATAAAAAATATATATTAAAATAATAGACGTTTTCTCCTCTACAGCTGTTGAATAATGGGGACTGATGCGACTGTCTCTTTTATATGTAGAGATAGGTTTATCCCAGTAATTTCTGGAAACTGCTCTTGTCAATAATTACGTAATAAGTGACTGCTCCCTCTCTTTGAGGCCTCTGAAAACCACAACCGAATTCAAATTTAATAGACTAAACACGTCAACATTGCGCTTGATTTATGAAGTATATTTAAAGACGTTTTAACTTAGTTGAAAATTATTTAAACTGTTTAATTAATTAGAAGACTTTAAAAACACCAACCTGTAGATGAATGTGTTAAAATAAGTACTGTTTAATATACATTCTACAAAGAAGTTTTGGTAGAAGATATTAGCAATGCATCACCATTTTTGATTTTATTGTGCTTATTTTTTTCTTGTTGACAGAAACAACAACAACAACAAAACCAAATGTTTCTACCTTTTATGGATTAAGCGAAAGAAAATTAAAGATGTGTCTTCGAAACATTTATTTATTTCTTTTAAATATATATTTTTAGCTCACCTGAGCCGAAGGCTCAAGTGAGCTTTTTTGATCAAAATTTGTCCGTTGTCTGTCGTTGTAAACTTTTCTCATTTTCGTCTTCTTCTCAGGAACCACTAGGCCAATTTCAACCAAACTTGCCACAAAATATCCTTAGGTGAAGGGAATTCAAGTTTGTTCAAATGAAGGGCCATGCTCTCTTCAAAGGGGAGATAATTATGAATTAGGGAAAAATTAATAGCATTTAAAAAAAAATTTCTTCTCAAAAACCACTGGGCCAAGAAAAATGAAACTCATGTGAAAGCATCCTCAGGTAGTGTAGATTCAAGTTTGTTCAAATCATGACCCCCGGGGGTAGGGTGGGGCCACAATGGCCGATCAAAGTTTTCATAGAAGTATATAGGGAAAATCTTTTAAAATCTTCTTCTCAAGAACCACTGGGCCAAGAAAGATGAAACTCTTGTGGAATCATCCTCAGGTAGTGTAGATTCAAGTTTGTTCAACTCATGACCCCGGGGGTAGGGTGGGGCCACAATGGCCAATCGAACTTTTACAAAGGAGTATCTAGGGAAAATCTTTAAAAATCCTCTTTCCAAGAACCACTGGGCCAAGAAAGATGAAAGTCATGTGGAATCATCCTCAGGTAGTGTAGATTCAAGTTTGTTCAACTCATGATCCCTGGGGGGTAGGGTGGGGCCACAATGGCCGATCAAAGTTTTACATAGAATTATATAGGAAAAATCTTTAAAAATCTTCTTCTCAAGAACCACTGGGCCAGGAAAAATGAAACTCATGTGAAATCATCATCAGGTAGTGTAGATTCAAGTTTGTTCAACTTATGTCATCCCTGGGGATAGGGTGGGGCCACAATGGCCAATCAAAGTTTTACATAGAAGTATATAGGGAAATCTTTTAAAATTGTCTTCTTAAGTATTTCAAAGCGATGATTAGTGATATTTTTATGGAATCATCCTCAGGTAGTGTAGATTCAAGTTTGTTCAAATCATAACCCTTAGGGATAGGATAAGGCCACAATGAGGGATCCAAGTTTTACTTAAAAATATATCTAAAAAAATTTCTTCTCAAAATAGCAAAGCCATGATTTGTGATACTAGTATTTATATGGAAGCATTTTCGGGTAGTGTAGAATTAAATTTGTTCAAATCATAACCCCCAAGGGTAGGATGGGGCCACAATGATGGATTAAAGTTTTACATAGAAAAATAAAGGGAAAATTCCAAGAACAGAAAAGCTTTGTTTAGTCATATTGACATGTAAACATCCTCATGTATTGAAGATTTAAATTTATTCAAATCATGGCCCTTTGGGGTAGGGAGGGAAACAATGGGGAATCAAATTCAAATTATTATGAAGTTATATATAGGAAGAAAATATTTTTAAAATCTTTTTATCAAGATACTGTATTAATATGAAGGCATACTCAAGAAGTATTAAAATTCAAGCCCCCTCCCTTCAGTAAACTTTTCAGTTCTGGTCTGATTTGTGCTTTTTTCCTAGCCGATTTGCTCAGGTAAGCGATATGGCCCCTGGGCCTCTTGTTTTATTTTATAGACGCAGTCCTATCCTCAGTATTAAAAGAATCTTAAAGGTACATGGGCACAGCTTCAGCTAAAAATTTCAAATTTATTTTTCCATTTTTATAAATATTTAACTAAAGTTTCTAATGATCATCAAAAATTTGAACTCCAGTTGTCGAGATACAAGACAGATTTAGAGCTCCAAACTTGGTTATGTAAACAGGGTCCATGTCATGTTTTTGTTTACGTAGTTTTATATACTACATATGTTCGTTCAAAGCAGATAATTCCAATAAAGAATTTAATTCTAAGTATTTATTGATTTGCTGAATTTCATTTTGTTATAAATATGATATTTTCTATACATAAACAAAAACACGGCACAAGTCTTGTTTACAGGGCCTTGGTTACATTATGAAGAACTTTAACTCCTGTATTTCGTTTGTTTATCAACCTATGATGTTCAATTTTTTTGCTAATCATTACCTGATGCCTTAGTTAGGAATTGTAAACATTAAAATTGGTATAAAAAATTCAATTGAAATTGTGCCCACGTCCCAATATCTTTTTCAAATTGAAGGGGGTCGGGCAGTAGAAAAAAATCTTTTTTTAATTCTTCTGGTACAAGTAATTTCTATCTTATCAAAATGACAATTTTCTACCAATACGTAAAACTAAAAGAGCATTTAAACAAATAAAAATACGATGAAGAAAAAAAATTCCATACGAAACCTCCCAAGGGAATATTATCATCTTCAGATACATATTTTGAAAATAGTGTACTCGTATGATAATGTTTGGGGGAGGTGGTTAAAATTTTCATAAAAAATGGATTTCGATACAACAGGGCCTAAGTTTGTAACAATAACCACTAAGATTTTATAAAGTTGATCTTATAATGTTGACTTCAGGTTTCCTTAATCCTTTATTTGAACTTTTGAGCGGACTCTGGTCCTGTCCTTTATTTATAAAAATCTGCATCACTTTTAAGTTCTTACATTAATCTGGATTCTACAATGCAAATTAAACTATATTCAATGAAAAAACCGCGATTAAATTCCATTCAAGTAGAATTAATCTAGGAACTATATTTTGTGGCGGAAGGTTTTTTAGAAGAAAATGATCAGTTTTTTCCCTTTTTGAACTATAACAATACTGTTAATTTTAGATTCCTATTTTCCCATGCTGGTTGCAAACAAAGCTGTTTTTTGCAGTGAAATGTGTTATGCTGGTTCTGAAATATCTATTTAATTATTTCTTATGAATTATTTCAACGGAGTGTAATAAATATAGTAAATATATTCTGAAAATCCGGGGGTGGGGGGATGAACCAATTTTCACGTAAAATTGACCCTTTTTTAGTAATATCTGAAAATTTACATCATATACCCCCACTTTTGATGTTCTTTTCTAAATATTGAAGATAACCTTGACATATTTGCTTAAATTCAGATAAAGTTTTAGGCTTTAAAATACTTTTCTTGCTTATTAATTTTTCAATGCCAGAAAATTCACATTTTATTAGTGCCGAAAGGTCAAATAATTGATTAGGCAAAGCAATTTGAAACTTTTTCTTTGTCACAACTTTAAAGTGTTTTTTTAAATAGACTTAGAATTCGTTTTGTTTCATGCTTGAGTTAGATAAAATATTGTAGGGAAAACGTTGAAGATGTAATTTTTAACTAAGACACAAAATGCAGTGCAAAAAGGTAAAATTAAATGTACTATAGCGCCAAAAGAAGCATATTGACCCCCATTTTTTGATTTGAATTTTAATTAAGCTATGTATGTAGAAATTAAAAATATACTTGACAAAAAAAGTTGAAGACTTAAAATATCAGGATCCAACGTTCTTAAGTATTCCTTTATTTAATCGGAATTTAAATGTAGCCACTAGTAGATGATTCTTTTTTCCTATGGGTAGTTCAATCCATACTTTATATTGTTGATTATAAAAGGCTGAAAAGAATAAAAATATCTGTTAATATGTCTTGATGAGCAAATTTACTATACATATAATAAACATAGAATAACAAATTGGCCAGTTTGTATTTCTGATTTGCTTATAAAAGAAATCTTATTACTAGTACTTGAAAATGGAAATATTAGTGTTATTGCAAAACAAAACTAACTTTCATAATTCTGGCTCTAAATAATGATAAAAAACAAACAGTGTTAAAAAAATGAAATTGTTTTTAAATTGGCTTTTAACTTCATATCTTTCTAAATTATTAATGGTGTATAATCCTTACAGGAATACACTGTGCGATAAAGGTATATTTTTATTCTGCTGATTGGTATTAGCATGAGTACTGTTCGTTATTGCCATGTTTCATTTGATGAAAGGAAATGTTTCATTTTCAGCTATAAACAGAATTTTTTTTAAAATGTATTTTAATAACAGTACTGATCTGGATAAAAATAATTTCAATATTATTACTTTTAGTATTTTAATATTTAAATATTTGGGCGAAGAAAAATACCTAATGAGATGAAATATATTGAGATAACAAACAGTATTCAAACTCAAAAGTTCATTCAAACAATACAAATCAAGAGCAGAGCAAATTCGAACCTCTAAAAATAATCAGAAGTGGAAGCAGGTGCCATTGAGAAGTGAGCACCCCCTGCCAACCAGTCACAACCGCCTTGTCATGATCAGGAAATAACGGAAAAATCTGTCGACAATGGCCATGATTTAGTATGTAAATAATAACCTAAAAATAAGTAAGAAAAACGTCAAAATATTTGTTAATTTTCTTGTGCCATCATCTTGTTTGTCAGTAACCCCGTTTTAGAAAATGTTGATGGTACGTAGAGCATGTTCTTGTGTTTCGAGTCTACTAAGACATATAAACATTATATGCAGATGATAAGGGTATATTACCTCATACGGAAGGGAAGTTGATGATTGAAAATTTAACTTATCACGTTTACCATTAAACTCGGTTTTAAGGTTACCATAAAGGTCTTTTTCCAATAAAAGATCAAAGTATGAAAGGATTGAAACAGATGAATCAGACTCTGTGGTACCTGATATTTCAAGGTCACCGGGATATATGGTGTCGTTATATACTTCTCCAACTGGAAACCAAATATTTTCCCTGAATGTGAATGTGAAGACTTCTTTTATTTGAAGGATTTTAGGAGACTGTTCAATTGCTTTATCTTTTATCTTTTTAAAATGATCTGCCAACTTTTTAAAAGGAAAATAATTAATCTATTGAAGATAAATGACAAAAAAAGGTTGATGTCTGAAATATCCCCATTGAGGAATTGGGATAATGAAATTACTTTAGTCAAATATAGAAGAAACTAGTATATACATAGATAGAAGTGACCAACCGAAAAAAGCATATATTTTTTCAGCAATGTGAAGATTGCTGCCATTTTGTAATTTTTACATATCCAATCACAAAAACATATATATGGCAATTTTAAGTACTAGCATACGAAAAATTTCCTTTCCAGTAAGGAATAATAATGATACTTAATAAATGATAACAATAAAAACTCCTGAAAAATATGTCAAACAGAAACGTCATTACAGTAACTATGTAAAGGGTAAGGTAATGTTTACAAATTATTTAATCTGTGGTCTGTAACCACAATTAGCATATGAAATTAAAATGATGTTAAGGTCAAAACCAAGTAAGCAGTTGTGTCAATAAGAGTTCCGTATTTTTGCTATGTTTTGTTTGAGGTCATATTGCTTACTCATTCAGTATCAATATTTCATTGTAAGATGTGGCAACCTGATTGGGGAATCAGCAAATTTATACTAGTAGTACAAAAAAAATTGTAGCTCAAACGTTCTGTCATCAATTCGTGTTTTAAAGGGGAAAAAAATAATAATTACTTAGCGTAGTATGCACTTTTCATACAGACACGAAGATAGCATGTTAATTTTGTATATTTAATGTAGGTATTTTACTGTTTGCAGGTAATCGCTTATTATTATTCTATGTCTAAAAATGTGGGCTGGGAAGATATGAACTTTTCAAATTCTTTCATAAGTCCTTAATTATTTTTTTAAGTTTCATGGACCGGAAAATCCCCTGTCTGGGTTTTCTACAATGTTTCTGAAAATTTGAAGGGCTTTTAATCATGGAAATTAAATCATATTTAGAATATTAGGTTAACAACTTTTGAATAAGGGCATGTCTGAAAAAGTTTCAGTTTCAGTTTTGGTGTACTTTATTGAAGTCGTTATTTAGTCTACTTCGAATGAAGCCGTGGCGAAATATGATAATTTTGTATATAAATCTATTATGTAAAATGTTTTATAAAATAATATTTAATAATCCAAAGATTTATTAAAGAAATCTAGCGACATAATATATCCAAAAGGCAGAGGGAGTGGATTAAAATTATGTAAATTAAAATTATTTTAAGATAATATTGACTGTTTCTGTTAACTATAATAGATATAATAAAGGGAGCAATTTTGTAAAAAGAAAAAAAAAATGAGGAACGAATGTAAAATTTATTAATTTTGGATTTTTTTTCCTTCAAAATTATGTTCTAAAACACTGTTACTTACTTTATTTTCTACCAAACATTCAATTTGATTAAATACTTAAGGGAACTTGATATTTGTATACTTCTGAAATTGAAGGATTGTTCCCTATTTTTCAAATACTGTACAGCCTTATACTTAAAGCTTCCAATCCTTTATTTAAATGAATCAAATTTTACTTGGCATCTGACAAAAAATCATGTTTGACCACGAAAACAATTCAAAACAAAACACAAACATAAAAAAATATTTACAATATCATGTATAAAACAACAAGTAATAAATACAATAATTTATTATATAAAAAAAAGGCTAGAAAATCCAAAGGAATTTCAATAAAATGATAATAAAAACAAACGTTAAGGACAAATATTTGTTATAATATCAGAGTCTTGATATTCCCTCTCTGTGACTTTGTTATCTGAAATTTAAATAAAAATAAATGGTAACAAGAAGATAGTAATATTTGAGTAGATATTGATTTCACATAAATAATATTCTTCCATATAATTTGATAGGATATGAACTTTCTTGCCTTTCCTACTTTATGAAACTATACTTGGTATTGTACATTGGAACAAAAAAAATGGAGGAGAGTCAACATGGACCTCCAAAAACATCAGAAGAGGAATCAGGTGTCATGGAGTAGTAAGCATTCCGCCGTGTGCTTCTTGACATGTTTGGAGTAACGGAATATTTCCTATACAATTAAGTGTAAATATAGTTTGCTTGTTAAATTTTCTTTTTTCTTTTTTCTCTTTTTTTTTGGATCTTCTTTAAAAAAAAGTTTTATTTTTTTTTTTGTTCATTCAAAGAACATGGATGAAAAGGGTGAAAAAAAGACCAGTAATCGCCCCCCCCCAAAAAAAAAACCCTCAAAAACAATATAAATATGTTAAGATGAAATAAAATAAAGGCTCCTGGAAATCCAGAGGTGGGCTTAGGTACCTAGATGGAATAAGTATCCTGGGTTGACCTGTCACATCTGCCGTCCATTAGCCTTTCGTATTGATCACGTAAATCGAAATTTCCATAGTCAAATTCAGTATTACGAGGGCTGTTCAATAAATAATGTCCTCGGTGTTCAGAAAGAAGCAAAATACGTTTTTCAATGATTTATTCTTCATGATTTTACTAATTAATCTCTTTTAAGTAAAGTACATGTCCGTAACATTTTTTATCCAATTTCTGATCGTTTGTAGATCTCGTTTTTGGGTATGACCCTTAGTATACTGGAAAATGGCAGATCCAATGATTTCCCGAACTTGCTTTTTCCTTCTAAAAGGTGTTTTGTCCAAGTTTGGAAATAGAAACAAGTCAAAAGGTCAAAGATCTGGCGAATATTGTTAATGTGAAAAAATATTAACTTTCTGTTTATCCCGAAAACCCCTTTACTCTTCAGGGCATGCGGGTTTGGACGCTGTCTTGAAGAAATTTAATGTAGTGGATTCCTGATTATGGGTCCTTCCTCTAATAAACCTTTTGATTTTTTGGCCAAAAAAGTGCTTTCTAGACTCCTCCAGAAATTAAACTGTCTCTCCGAAAACGATTTTGAACAACAATACCACTAATGTTTAAGAAAATTACATATAAATCTGTCTTTGTGCTCTTGCATACCTGTGCACTTGTCAGACATTCGCCGTTTTTATCAAGTACATCTAATGGTAAATTTTGTTTTTAGGGGTTTAAGCAATAGATTCATGTTTCAATATCTGTTTGAAAATAAAACAAACGTGGATAACTACAATTACTGATATTTCAAAATAATTGTTTATATACTTTCGTAAACACTCCGTCATTTTCAATCATTTTTCAAAACATAGGGTGACCTTTGAGTACTAAGCTTTTTTACCGTCAAACGTTTCTTAAATACAGTGTAGTTTACCCCCGATGTGATGTCTATTAAATTTGCTATGTGTCTTAAAGTCAATCATACATCATCAAATATTATTTGTTGAAATTTGGCGAACAGTGCATAGGTTGTTATAATTTCTGTTGGCAAGGAGGGTACCCATTTTTGATACCTATTATATAATTTTTTATCAGTGAAATCCACCTTGCTCTTTTGTCTATAAAACAGGCATTGGTTGCTGTAAATGTAACATATTTCAGTAAATATTTCTTTGGGATTTTTAACAAGTTTTACGGCAGCTTTAACGAAGCTTTTATTTTCACTCTAGTTTACTGATTCTTTACCATTCATTTATAATGCAGTGTCTCGAAAAGCCCTTGTTTCCAAGCTTCTCACGATGAAACTATGTGATGAAAAGTGGTCACATGAACTGTTATAAATTCATTAAAGATTCAATAATGAGAGAAAGTCAAGTTTAATGTCATATGATATCTGTAATGTATGTCATATAGTTCAGGACATTATTTATTGAACAGTCCTCGTAAAACATAGGCCTATCAATTATTGTGATCTGGGGGTCGTAACATACATGTAAAGGCTACTTAAGTCTAAGGCCGTGCTTAAGTAGGACTTAAGTACAGTCTAAAACTTAAGACCGTAACTAGAAGCGTACTAAGATTTGGTAATTTTAGCAAAACTTAGGCGGCCGGTAGAGGTGACTTAAGTATATCTTAACTTTCTTGTACATATATTTAGACTTATTTGATGTTGATTTTCGATGTTAAAACATTCCTCTATACATCTTATGCATTAAAGAAAATAATTATCTCTATGGGACGCTGATTTAAGAATTTTATTTTATTTTTTCGTTTGGGGGGGGGGGGGTGATCACTGATTCCAATATCACTTCCAACACAGCATACATGTAAATACATATACAAAATTTAATTTTAGGGATACGTCTGAAATTAGTGGGACCTTGGTTATAGAAATGAATTGAACACAGTAATAAACCATGGATCGGTATGTTCAATTTGAAAATATGAGTTGAAATTATTTGTTAAAAAAAGAAAAGAAAGATGATGATGACTAAAACATTTATAAAAAAAAAAGTACAGTATCTGTAGAATAAATGTAGAACGATTTAGACAGGGTTAACTACAGTTCTAGAGAAAGAGAAAATGCTGTTAAGTGGAGACATACATTTACGAGAAAATAACCGATTCTTTTTTTGTATCTCTGATTAAATTGCAAATGAGTATATTATAAAACCACGATTATCTTTTCTTGTCTGCGATAATAACAGGGTAAGTGAACATTTGACAAAACAAGAGTTACAAAAGGTAAACTGAAAACATCTCAGGTGATAAAACAATTGTCGTGAACATTTACAATGAACCACAAATCGCCACTTTCTGACCGTGCGGTATTTGTTTTCAAACATTCCGAATAATTTATAACATAACTAGGAGACTTATTGTTCACAGAACAATAAGAGGTCTTTCCACCTTCTTGAATTTCAAATTTGTTTTATATCTGTCTTCTTAAAATCAAATTCCATGAAAAAGAAACCAAAATTGTCTTAAATCATAGAAAAAATAAGAATTTTTTAAAAAATTGAATGACCTTGATCTTTGACCTTGAGAAAATATTCAAGGTCAAAGGTCAAGGGTCACAATGCAGTTAACCCCGTGCTTCTACGACTTATAGTTTTTAAGTTATAAGGTTTAATAGTAAGTACAAAGACGTTAAAGGGCAATAACTCGTATAAGGGGTCATCAGATCCTTTCGCACTTATACAGTGAAGTTATGCCTCAAGATCTTAAAGACATTAGTGAAGGTTTAGTGTCTCTACAGTCTACAGTTTCTGAGGAGTAGCGATTACAAGGTTTTTCGCACAAGGGGCAATAACTTTTAAGAGGGTTAATCTTAAGGAACAAAAATGAAATTTTTAAAATAGTTTTAAGAGTACATATTATTGATGCAAAGACAGTTAGTAAATGTTTAAAGACAAAAGAGATATAAAAGGGCTTAATTTCTCAAATTTGGAATGACCTTGATCTTTGACCTTTGCATTAATTTCATGATCAAAGGTCAATGAATCTTATGCAGTTGGTCCCATGTTTCTATCACTTCTCGTTTTGAAAATGTTTAATTATTTCTAAAATTAAAAAAGTTTCAGGGGCAATAACTCATTGAAGGGGTCACTGAATACTTTCGCAATGAATAGATTCCAGAGTCCTCTCAATTAGTCGAAGACTTTAGTGAAGGTTTCATATTTCTACAGTTTATGGCTTTGAAGGAGTAGCGATAACAAGGTTTTTCGCACAAAGGGCGATAACTTTTTATAGGGTCAATCTTACGGAATATGAATTAAATCTTTAAAACAGTTTTAAGAGCACATATTAATGATGCTTAGACAGTTTGTTATGTTAAAAGACAAAAAAGATATAAAAAGAGCTTAATTTCTCAAATTTGAAATGACCTTCACCTTTGACCTTTGCATTAATTTCATGATCAAAGGTCAATGAATCTTATGCAGTTGGTCCCATGTCTCTATCACTTCTCTTTTTAAAAATTTTTAATTATTTCTAAAATTAAAAAAGTTTCAGGGGCAATAACTCATTGAAGGGGTCACCGAATACTTTCGCAATGAATAGATTCCAGAGTCCTCTCAATTAGTCGAAGACTTTAGTGAAGGTTTCATATTTCTACGGTTTACGGTTTCGAAGGAGTAGCGATAACAAGCATTTCTTGTGAAAGGGGCAATAACTTTGAAAGAGTTCATAGTTCATATACGCAGGGTTTTTTGCAAATATCTCTTACAAAGTACATTCTTATAAACTATAAATGTTTTCAAAAGATCTTGAAACAAAAATTCGTCCGGCGGAAAAATAATAAAAATAATAATAAACAGAAGAATATCAATAGGTCTTTCCACAGAAAGGTGGAAAGACCTAATTATAATTTTAATACGAAATCAAATCTAACATAACTTAAACCGATAGGTAAGGACGTCATCTTTAATAAGTAATTAATTAAAACCCTAACTGAATCACTTTTAGCAATAAATCTATATAAAATCAAAAACCATAAGTTGACTCATATGAAATATTTTTAACATAAGTTTGACTTAGCCAGGATCTAGCTTAGTTTGCTTTATGTTACGGTTTAAGACATCCCTAAGCAGAACTTAGATAGGTCCTAAGATTACGCCTAAATCGTACTAACGACCCTACTTAAGTAAAAAACTTAGCAAGCTTTATGTTAGGAGCCCTAGGTCAGCAAAATTACAATCCAATGATATTTGCTTAAAGTGTCATAATGACGATCATAAAGTTTACGAAATTCCGACTAAACATGAGGTTGAAATCCTTATAACATTTCTCAGTAGTATACATCGGTTTACAATTGACGGTATTGTGGCACACTTTTTGAGAATCGATAAGTTGAAAAAAATAAGCAGTAAAGGCAGATAATAGCATAAATAAGGAAAGCTGGAAAAGTTGAGGACCTAAGTTTGTTGTTAGTTGGTCCTAATTACTCCACTGCATTGTAACACTCAAATATGAAGTAGACACGGTCTACTCTATGATGTCGTCTATTTCAAATTCATTCAGATATATCGAAAAAACACATGAAGTAACTATTTTTAACTGCTAATACATTTTTCGCTATATCCAAATGTCGATTTGAAGGCTACAGCAAGTGTTTTCTAAAAGATACATCAAAATGAAGTGCACATCACGGTAGTTTTGGCAGGATAAAGATCCCTCTTCGTTATTAAGTTCTCATCCGAAGGACCCGCGACTTTCACTTCAAAGCGCCATTTGCTTGGCGAAATAACAGTTGTTAGCTTTTTATCAACTTGGGTCTTGCAGCTGTGATCTGAACGTATGAACTGCCGATCACGAAGCGAGCGTTATTCCCGAAGAATAACTTTGGTTCATATACATTTTGATATTCGAGGACGTAAAATTATATTGAGAAAACGCAACAAGAGTTATCTGGCTTTACCTTTGTTAATGTCAAGTTGTTGGAAGTAGGAGGCTAATTCAGTTTTGCCTGTCATTTCTATCAGAGTTGAGATTTCACTCTCACTTACAGTATCATCAATATTTAGATCCAAAGAAGAAAAATTGCAGATATCAAACCGGCTCATATCCTGAAAAACGTAAAGTGATTAAAATGAAAATAACAAAAAGTTAACTGTCAGTTGAAAATGATGCAGCAACTTCTGAAATTTTTACAAGAGCTATATACTCAGAATATCTATATAATGGTATAAGGAATAAAAATGAAGTTAGCGATGAAAAGAAACTCAGAAATAATTGAGTAAAATATTATTTGTATTGACAACCTGGTAGATTAAAGCCGCTGACACCAGTAGGAGGTATTGTTGTTACCAGAGTATTCGTTAAATTCTTTATGTCTCGCTTTTTCACAAATGACAAAGGTAAAACTTTCTCTCCGATATAACTTTGATTTTGTTAGATTCTGGAGAGATATTCTTACTATACACTTCATAAAGAACGGTTGCTCAGCTTACCTTATCTACCGATCTTTTTCCAATAATATCCAAAATTTGTTGTATTGAGTCAAAAATTTCCCTTGCTTTTTCAGCACGTTTCTTGACTTTGTCAAATGCTTTTCTAAACCTTCCCCAAGCGCATACTTCACCAGATATCAGAAAAATCACCAAAGAAAAAATTAAGAAGTTTCGAAACTAAAAAAAAAAAGAACAATAAATTATCTAGATGAGTAAAAAGTTAACAAATTGGAATAAAACAATTTTATACATGAACTTATATCGAAAATAGTATTCATTATCCTTACCATACTTGATTTTTCTCTAAAACTTAGGACAACATGTTTGTTCTTCTTATTTATACTCTAACATTAAAATAACCTATCATGTTCTTGAAGATGCTGCATGTTAATGATTACAATGCAGCTAGTTAGCTCCTTTTATTCAATAAAATGTGTTAAAAGCAACATTTGGGATAAAATCAGCAAATGTCACGATGCATATTCTTTGAAATTTAAGATGGCATAAATATTTATATAAATAATTTTAAAAGGTTCAGAGACCTTTTCATTTAGTTAATTAGGTATACCGGAATAATTCTTAATATTAAAAAAAAGGGAAAAAAATATGCAAGAGATATATAATCAAATTCTGGTATAAAATGGGTTTCATCTAAATACTTTTTTTTGTCTGTAAGGAGTTCGTTTTCTGTTTTCTATAAAATTGGCAATTACGGCGATAATACGTTTCTCATTTTCAATACACATTAAAAACTTTGAACTTTAGACTTAATTTATCATGGAAAACCTTTAACCCAATGTATAGTCAGCTTATCATACCTTAACCTTGATCCAATAAAGTAAGGTGACACCGTCATATTTTTACATTTTGATTAGTTATATATACCACAACTTGGAATTAGCAAAAAAAGAAGATTAAAAATGAATCAAATATGAAGAAAACAATCATGCTCAAATCCAGTGAAATGATTTAGCATTATGAGAAGAACAAACACAGACCTCTGTAAACATCAAAAGTGCATGGGATCTGGTGCTATGGTGAAATAAACACCCTTGTCAATGTATGAATTAACCTGTGAAAATTAATCACAGAGTAATTCATAAACCGATAGTATGTTTTTGAAATTAAATTAATCATATACAAAAAAAAAAAAACAGTGTACATTATATTGCTATGGAATCATCAATGTTCGTAGAAAACCTGTGTTCGTGGTTTCCCTGGGTCACCTTTATCAACGAACAAAATCCCGGTCAATTTTTTTTCGTCAACATATTTGTTATCTTTTGTATATACACGTTTCCAACGAAATAACTTTCCCATTAATCAACAAAATTTTTGCTTTCCTACGACCAATTGACCCACACGAATAACAATGTTTCAAAAGTAATAAATTCATGCTCATTTTATAGAACAAGAAGCGTAGCAATATTACAAAAAAACTCTAATATAAACAAATAAAAATAAATATTTTGAAAAATATACTTTTAAATAAAATAACTGTCACATTAAAATCTTCTAATCGAACACGCAAGTAATTTGTATTCACCTGTGGGGAGCCTCCATTTTTCACTGGGTTTATTTAACCCCGTTTTATACCTCAAATCACTGGACCTTTAAAATATTGGTAAGCCTGTGCTTCAGTTTGGACACGGCAGTCCATATAGAAGGACGTTTTCAAAAACTTCTAACATCGAATTGATTTGTCTAATACACATGGCAGACTACTGAAGATATTTCAACCAAATCCTTATTAGAATTTATGGTATGGTCCTGCTTCTCTGAGGTCTCATAGATTATTCCTGTAAAGTTGTGTAGAGATGGCGGCCCGTACCAGTTACATCTCATAATCTTGAACGCAAGACGGACGTGTAACCTCCTCGGCACTGGAGAGGGGGAGTGTAATCTCTTCGCACTGGAGAGGGGTGTCTGAGCCTCCTTAGCGGCAAGAGACAGTAGTGTATCCCAAACACCGTTTGGAACCATAGACTACCGACTTTCGGGGGACACGGACGACCACACACCAAAGCAGTCTATTTTGTTGTATAATATTTTGTTAATTAAATGTAAAGTTTAAATGTAGAAAAGATTTTCTGTTATTTATCAAAGAGGAGTTTGGATCACTATTCTCTACGCAAGGTCATTATTTGACAAAATGGTGTCAGAAGTGGGATAACAGAGGGATAGTCGATCCATTCTCACATCTAATCATTGTAAAAAGAAATCAATTTTTGTTTTCAATTTCTACCAATAGCAGTGTTACAAAAATTTTTGGACATTTATGTTACCTACAAGTTTTTTTTTTTTTTTTGCATTTGTTATTTTGTACGAAAGCCGGATAGGCTCATTTCTGAGAAGATAAAAAAAATTAACTCGTTATAACGAGTTAATTATCTCGTTATAACGAGTTAATTTTCTCGTTATAACGAGTTAATTATCTCGTTATAATGAGTTAGTTATCTCGTTATAACGACTTAGTTATCTCGTTATAACGAGTTAGTTATCTCGTTATAATGAGTTAGTTATCTCGTTATAACGAGTTAGTTATCTCGTTATAACGACTTAGTTATCTCGTTATAACGAGTTAATTATCTCGTTATAACGAGAAAATTAACTCGTTATAACGAGTTAATTATCTCGTTATAACGAGTTAATTTTTCTCGTTATAACGAGTTAATTTTCTCGTTATAACGAGTTAAAAACTCTAAAGTTGATATATGTAAGTAATAGGAAGTATCGCATATAAAATCGAGTCGATCAAGTTTGTTTAAAGTGTGTATGATAAATATTTCATTGAAAAACAGCAAACTAGTTTTGTTTTGTTTTTTTCGAGGGGTTGTGTCTATAATTGTAGTTCGTTTAATTATAAATGTTGCAGTTGATTTGTATTGTTTTACTCAAAAAAAAAAAAAAAAACAAAACAAAGACAAATACGTGTACGTATATACGGAACCTTATGAATGCCTCGTGATATTGTGTTATGAGTGGACAGTAGCCCCCGAAATTTACGCGGGCCCAAGACCTAATTGCTGATGTCTCCATACCCCCCTTCTTCAAAACATTTCTGACTCTAAAAATAATATATATCACACTGTAAGTGTATATAAGATATGTTGCGTAACTAACGCCTGCCTTAGCTTGCCATTATAATGCATTAATTAAGAAATTAGACATTGATTATGGAAGCTATAAGGTCATCCAAAAGTTAAACATATATAAAAAAATAGTGTGTTTTATCGGAGAAAGTTGTTATACTTAAATTGCAAAACTTTGAAGCAAGCACATTTGGCCATATATTTTTAATAGTGTGTACTTAGAGACGTTCACGTATAAATGTGAAAATGCGTTCGATTAAAAGATTGCTATTTTTATCAAATTGTGATTATTGACGGCAAGATACTTGTAGTTCGAACAGGATTAATATTATTAAAACCATATTGCAAATTATATTTGCATCTCTTTATCAATTTTAAAGTTAAGTACGACTGATAATTATCAAATAAACTTCAATAGCATTAAAACTACAGCCATTTTTAATTCCTATATTGCTATTAATTTGGAAATAAAAGGGCAACTTATTATTTCGTTATAACGAGATAATTAACTCGTTATAACGAGAAAACTAATTCGTTATAACGAGATAACTAACTCGTTATAACGAGATAACTAAGTCGTTATAACGAGATCATTAACTCGTTATAACGAAATAATTAATTCGTTATGACGATATATCTAACTCGTTATAACGAGAAAATTAGCTCGTTATAACGAGATCATTAACTCGTTATAACGAGATAATTAATTCGTTATAACGACATAACTAACTCGTTATAACGAGATAATTAACTCGTTATAACGAGATAACTAAGTCGTTATAACGAGATAACTAAGTCGTTATAACGAGATCATTAATTCGTTATAACGAGATCATTAATTCGTTATAACGAGATAACTAAGTCGTTATAACGAGATCATTAACTCGTTATAACGAGATAACTAACTTGTTATAACGAGATCATTAACTCGTTATAACGAGATCATTAATTCGTTATAACGAGATACTAACTCGTAATAACGAGATAAAACTAAGTCGTTATAACGACATAATTAACTCGTTATAACGAGATAATTAACTCGTTATAACGAGATACTAAGTCGTTATATCGAGATAACTAAGTCGTTATAACGAGAAAATTAACTCGTTATAACGAGTTATATATTTTTTTATCTTTTCAGAAATGAGCCTATCCGGCTTTCGTAATTTTGTTTCTGTTGTGTGATCATTTTACGTGTTTTGTAGAAGAATTGTCCGGTTCTGGATGTTTGAGACCTCTGAGAAGTGTTTTCAAAAGTCGTCAATGTCGCAGTAAGTTGGACCATGTAAGCAACCAAAGTGTTTGCCATGGGTATTGTATAGTAAGTTCAAAAGCAGCTATCTATTGTATCCAATGTGATGTGAGGTTTCTGTCATATAACTCATTTTCAAATCAATATAAGAAAATGGACTTTCTAAAAGAATTAAAAGAGTATGGAGAGTCATAAGGGTTGAAAGATGAGCAGTTAACAACTTTCATTAGGGAACAACAAGCTATTCAGAGAGACGAGAGAAATGCGGAGAGAGCATTAGAAAAGAAAAGACTGGATTGTGAGGCAGAGAAAGAGAAAGTACTAGTGTAATTAGAGTTAGAGAAGGAGAGATATTGGTATGAGATTGAGCAGATGAAAGTTGAGAAAGAGTTTGAAACACAGTTAGTAAATACTAGCAAAGATGTGCAATCTGATCACAGTCAAGGTCGAGTTACACCTAAAGCTCCAAAGCTTCCTGTATTTAATGAACTTCACGATGAGATGGACAGTTTCCTTCTCCGGTTCGAAAGGTATGCAGAAGCACAAAAATGGGGTGAAGAGAATTGGGCTGTTAATTTAAGCGCACTTTTACGGGGTAAAGCTCTAGATGTTTACTCGTTAATGCCCAAAAGTGAGGCCTTAGACTATAAGAATTTGAAAAAAGCTCTACTTAGACGATTTAAACTGTCGGATGACGGGTTCAAGAAAAAGTTTAGATCTTGTCGACCTGAACAATTAGAAACTTTTGCTCAATTTGCAGTTCGCCTTAGTAGCTATTTTGATAGATGGATAGAAATGGCAAAAGCACCAAAAACATTTCAGGGTTTGTACGATCTCATGTTGCGTGACCAGTTTTTACATATTTGTAGTCAAGGTCTACGTTTATTTCTGAAAGAGCGCATTCCAGAGAGTCTTAAGAAAATGGCAGATCTTGCAGACCAATACAAAGATGCTAGAAACTTGAGCTCCGTCCAGGCAGTAGATAAAGGTAAGGGTTTGTTACAGAAGAAACTAGAACCAGTCAAGAAAACATGCAACAGTACTCAGAACAGAGACAATGTACATAGTAAAACAACAAATACTGGTAAGTTCGTACCCAGATCAGATAGAAGATGCTTTAAGTGTAACAGAGTAGGGCATATTGCTTCAGAATGTAAAGCTAAAACGGTTGTTGGTAGTGTATCTGAAGTACAAACCGAAGGAGAATCATCCGCTGCACAGAAAGATGGAAAACCAGTTTGTTTTGTAAGTACGTTACCTTCAGATTCTATAGTAGATTCGATGGTGAAGATGTCGCTGTCTACACTTACTTCTGCTTGCACGAAATCTGCAAACTACTTTTCCCTGCCTATTTCTACGGGCTATATTAACGGGAATCCTGTGACGGTTTTGAGGGATACTGGTTGCAGTGGAATTGTTGTCCGGAAATCTAAGGTAAGTGAGGAAGATCTTATAGATGGTAAGCAGCAGGTGTGTGTCTTAGCTGACGGATCTGAAATTACAGTTCCTGTTGCGGAAGTATTCATTGATACTCCCTATTTGAGTGGTTATCACAAGGTATGGTGTATGGAAAATCCAGTGTATGATTTGATAATAGGAAGTGTTCCAGATGCAAGACTTCCAGACAAAGTAGACAAGAATTGGCAAGTCAACACAGTAGAGACTAGACAGCAGAAGCGGAACAGAGAGAAGCCTTATCCACCTCTAAAGGTACCCGACATAATCACAGACGTAATAGAACCACATTGCATCAAGGCTGCACAAGAGGAGGATCCAACAGTTTCCAAGATAAGGGGTTTTGCAGAACATAATACTGTTCACCAGAAGAAAAACGGTAAGGTAAAATGGTATAAAAAGAATGGATTGCTTTATAGAGAATTTGTAGCGAATGATGACAGCGTCAATAAGGTATTTTCTCAGCTTGTAGTTCCAGAGAAATTTCGCTCATTAGTCATGAAGTTAGCGCTTGATTCTTTATTAGCAGGACATCTAGGTATTCAGCGGACAATAACCAGGGTTAACTCAGAGTTTTTCTGGCCAGGACTCAGGAGTGACATCCGACGGTTTTGTCAGTCCTGTGATATATGCCAGCGTACTCTTCAAAAAGGTAGGGTGAGCAGAGTGCCTTTAGAACGTATGCCATTAATTGATGTGCCATTCCAGCGAGTTGCAGTTGACATAGTGGGTCCGTTATCTCCAATCACGGAAAAGGGTAACAGGTACATACTTACTCTAGTAGATTATTCAAGCCGTTATCCAGAAGCTATAGCTCTGCCAAGTATAGAGACAGAAAGAGTTGCAGAAGCGTTGATGGAAATTTTCTCCAGGGTAGGTATACCAAGAGAAATGTTAACGGACATGGCATAGCTTTTCTAGATTTTAGTAAGGCGTTTGATTTAGTCAGTCATGATATCTTAATAGAGAAATTACGCCATTATAATTTTGATTCACTTGCAATTAAGTGGTTTCGGTCTTATTTAAACGAAAGGACCCAAAGTGTTAAAATTGGCGCATGTTCTTCCGATATCTTACCCATCACAGCAGGGGTACCACAGGGATCCATTTTAGGTCCACTCCTATTTTTATTGTATATAAATGATCTTCCTTTATGTGTAAATTACTCTAATATTGATATGTTC